TATTTCAGATTTGTCAGTAGGCAGAGGACCTTTTAGAACAAAGTTGAAGAATAGTCGTGATAAGCAGGAACGCTCAGCTCTGGACTGCAGCCGCAGCACCGACCCGTCTCCAGCTCCTTTCTCCGCTCACTTGTGAACAAGACCCAAGATACTTAAACTCCAGGGCAGGAACTCATCCCTGACCCGGAGTGGGCACGCAAAGCCTTTTGCCAGCTGAGGACCACGGCCTCAGATTTGGAGGCGCTGATTCTCATTCCCACCGCTTCACACTCGGCTTCGAGCCCCTCCAGTACGAAAGAATAATACATATGAATACATTAGACTGACACAGGAGTGTAAAGGATATTTCAGGTAACGAAGATCCATCCTCTCCTGCAGAAAGTAGCAGCAAACCGGAGTCCTATTAACTGTATGTTCACATAACAGCTCTTCATTATCATATTCAAGTGAGTAACAATAACCTTCCAATGAACCTTTAATGTGATGCAATGGTGTTTGACCTTTGGCCTTCTTTATTCTAAGGCCTTTGAGCCCAAAATAAAGCTTTAGACATCCAGAGACTGAGAACAGAAAAGCACTCACATGAGTGGATGTGTATAGAAATGCACTCGTTCAGTATCACTTCCAGTCACTATCAGTAATGGAGAGGAAATGGTGTCTGGCTCAGAGACGTTTGCAGAAGGCTGAAGGGCAATTTAACTAAAATGACTGAGATAGAAATCCATTTGGGTTTGTGAGAGCAGTGTGCCTGAGTCTAACTGCTGGAAGGAAGATACCTCAGTGAAAGGATGTAATGTGTTTGCCAGCTCACAAATATGCCAAAGGGTCGGAGTTTGGCTTGCTCAAGCATTTCTGTCCACAGAGACAAGCACCGGAGAGGTTAGCACTTCTCAGGAAATCAAATGTGGAAACACAGGCAGCTTCAGGCCAAGGGGAGAGCAGAAGGATGACGAATGTTTCATACAAACCTCCCTTCCCCCACTTCAAACATGGACTCGACTAATGGGACTTCTCCCCATTACTCAAAACATAACCTGCCTAACCGGATTTAAGTAATTATGTTGATTCAGCAAAAGCAGATTGTTAGTGAAACACAACAATCCAACAGGTCATGTTGAGAAAGTTATTTAAATAATAAGTCAAACAGAGCTTATAGGTTTTGAACATACTGCCCCCATCAGTAACTATGGTTGAATTTAAGTGACTTTTTAAGGATCAAGAAAATAGTGCAAGTGCTCTTAAAGTTGCAGTGAAATTCAGATGAAACCAAACACGTTTTGGACAGAGACCAGACTCATTTATATTTACCATATGATGGAGCGCTGCTGCGACTGCAGCGATGCTGTACCGTCCGCCGTGAAGAGAGAGTTGAGTATAAAAGCAAAGCTGTCAATATACCGGTCGATTTACGTCCCTCACCTATGGTCAGAGCTGTGGGTAGTGACTCAAAGAATGAAATCGCGAATACAAGCAGCAAAAATGGGCTTCCTCCGATGGGTGGCTGTCCTCTCCCTTAGAGAGGGTGAGAAGTTCAGCCATCCGGGAGGGGCTCAGAGTAGAGCCGCTGCTCCTTCACATTGAAAGGACAAGGATGCCTCCTGGATGCCTAATGGGTGAGGTATTCCAGGCATGTCTCACCGGGAGGAGGCCCCCGGGCAGACCCAGGACAACCTAGAGGGATTATATCTCTTGGCTGGCCTGGGAACGCCTTGGTGTTGCCCCGAACAAGCTCATCACTAACAGCGGATATGGATAACGATTCAAGAGTGTTGTTACCGTCAGCCACCTCCTGTACGTGGATGATATCAAGGTACATGTCAGAAGTAAGCGAGACAGTGAGTCATTCATCAGGACATGAGTGGGCCCGTTTGGATAAGTGTGACCAAACAGCTGCAAAGAGAGGAAAGGTGACCCTGACTGAAGGGGTGGAGCTGCCAGAAGGCAGATTAGCAGACATACAAGAAGCAACAAGAACCTACACACCAAATGGGAACCAGCTATAGCCAAAAACCTCCTGCAGGTACGACACGAGAGCCAGCTGAACAGTATGAATAAGAGTCAAGCCCTTGTTATATGTGGCCCACAGCTGCTAGCAGCCGGTCGCAGGAGGACATAGATGCCACTGACATCAACTCCTCACAGTGTCCACAGTGAAAAGTGTCAGAATGTGGCAGCGAGGACGCACAACTCCAAGAAGAGGAGGAGACATTAACACTCGATTTTTATTTGCCTTCTATACTTTTGACGGCTTCTAAAGATCTCAATGAAGAAACTGTTGTTTTTTATTATTCCTTCTATTCCAGTGTCATATTTATTCAGTTTCTCTTTGTTTTGTGTGTTGCTGTGTTTTCAGCTCGGTGTCACATTGTAGCCCTTATATGCACTGTGTCTAATAATGCAAGCAGCTCTATGGGAGTTTGTTGGTGGAGCAAACTGACAGTAGTGCAATCTCTGTTATCACATTTATACACTAAGAACACACAGTAGTGTAGAGTGTATGATGTCTGCGTAGCAGGCAGCATTGAATTCAAGTGAACTGAACTGAATTCAGTTTTATTTATATAGCGCCACCTGCAGGTGCTAACTTTAGCTGCTGCAGTGGCCCAACGTGCAGACCTTAAACTCCTGTGACAGAAACCTCAGTGAACTAAAGCAAAGTTGGCCATAACTCCTCCATAATGATCATGTGATACAGAAGATTATTACACCAAGTTACTGATGCTAAAGGTGGTTCAGTGTATAAGCCCATTAATCATGAGGTGCACACGGCAAAGGCCTGCGTGAAATGCTCTCACTGAACAGCCTTTCCACATTAAAACAGTACAGTGAGCTCTCCTTTGTATTTAGCCAAGCAGATCTTTGTAATGTAGTTTGTTATAGTTGATCACAGCTGCTCTCTGCTAAAATTACAAAATGTTGTCACTTTGCAGTGTGTCAACAAAAAACAAACAAACAAACAAGGCAGCACAGTGGTTAGCACTGTTGCCTCACAGCAAACAGGTCCTGGGTTCAATTCCACCACCAGGCCGGAGTCTTCCTGTGTGGAGTTTGCATGTTCTCCCCGTGTTTGCGTGGGGTTTTGCCACAAGTGCAAATGTCAGTGTCCATGTGTTAGACCCGCGACAGGCGGGCGACCTGTCCAGGGTGTACCCCGCCTTTCGCCTCTGGGATAAGCTCCAGCGCCCCCCACGACCCTGAAAAGGATAAGTGGAAGTGAATGGATGCACAAACAAACAAAAACAGCCGCAGAGAACTGACTGCACTTCAGCAGGGAGGAGCTGTGTGACGGTGCCCCATCAGTTCTCCAGAGTAGCTCTGTAGTAACCCTTCCACACAAGACATGGACACATCATTGCAACAGAAGAGTCAAGCTCGATGTTTACAATGTCGGCCAAATACTTGGCTGTGATGCATTTAATGTAGCTTGAATTGTTCATTATAGAGAAAGACCCTTTAACTAACCCTCTTTACTTTCCTTGGGTACAAAGCTCAAGACATTATTTACCTGTTCACCTGTTTTCTGCTTTACAAAGGTGAAATGAAAAATTTCCTCTGCATGATTTTATTTAAAGTTTATTTTAATAATCTCTGGATAATATTAAATGTTTTCTGTGAGATGTAGTATTTGAGCGTTTTATGTAGTCTTAGCTGTGCGCTGTGATTGGAAATACTGGTAAATATCACTGGATTACATTAATGATGAAGAAAACTTAAAAAAATAAAAATCTAGGAGATTCTTGGCCAACCAGTGCTGGCCCTGTCCAAGCGTATTTCCTCAGCCTCTAAGTGATTAATAGTGATTAATGCTGCCAATAACTTTGCCCATTTGTAAATAGCATTGAAGCAGAAAGTGGGAACTAGAGTTAGGGGTACGACTTGGTTGTCTTGTCTGTTATTTGGGCCTCGGTCCACCCTGGAGTTCATGCTTTCGGTGTTATAGGCAGAGCAATAAACATCACCTTTGTCTGTGTGTCGGCTTTTACTTGTCTGGTTTTGGGGAGCACCTGTTTGTTAACCCTTATGTTACGCTCACATAAACCACAGTGTAGCAGTGTGTGTGTGTGTGTGTGTGTGTGTGTGTGTTTGTTTTCAGGACTGAGGAAATGCATGTGGTGGTATGATTGTCTTGTCTGTGTAATTCAAACCTCCAAAGACTCTAATAATGTCATGTTTGTGAGCCACGTGGCCTTGCCAGAGACAAGCAGCAATGGTGTCAAAAGTTACAGCCTCATTATGAACCTACAGCATCGCAGTCACAGGTGTGGGCCGGGCCACAGAGCTACAGGAGGAATGTGTGTACAGGCCACACTAAGCTAGGAAAAAGCAGATGAAACAATCGCCTTTATCAAATAGTTGTAAATGGAGTAAGCAGAAAATGCAAAGACGGAAAGATGTCTTCATCATATTCATGAAGTATTTTAACTTTTGTAACAAAAGAATTTCCAAAACTGTATTTTTCCAATTTATTGAGTAATTGGGCTCTAAATGTAACAACAGCACACACGGGAGTTTGTTATGTGCAATGCTGCAGCAGTGCATTACAGTATTATATTTAGTTATTATACATACTTGCCTTCCTGAACATGAATTTAATTTGCTATTCTCGTCATAAGTAATGATATAATTTTTAGTTTTGACCAAGTATTTGACAGATTTCTAAATTATTTGTGCTTTCTTGTTTTATGATAGATGCTCTAGCCAACGCTGTACTGTCAGGAGTGCACACTGAAAGCTCTCCTGATTCATTAGTTAATAGTTTTAGAGGAACATAATTTTTCACGCAGCCATTGTGTTCCTGCTGTGGTTTGTAGAGATGTTAAAAGAGTTTCTTCACCACTGATGCAGGAAGCTGATTGTGCGTCCAGTGCAGACGCAGCCTCTCCAGCTGAATCACGTCTGAACTGAAGCTTCTGTTCAGTCTGTGTATCGTTAGAGGGAATGTTTGTGTAAATATTCTGTTTATAAAAACAAACAAACAAAAACCTTTTGTTCCTTTGCAGGTTCCATTACTCGGTGCTCCTACATCAAGTATCACTATTCCTCAGCTACGATACCCAAAAACCTCTCCTACAACATCACCAAGACAATAAGGCAGGACGAATGGCACGCCCTCCGTAAGTCTGCTGCTGTTTCTCCTTCTGTCACGTAAAATCCTTTCATTTTAAGTAGAGATGATCTGGGTTGAGTACATTTGTTTTCTGTCTCTATGCAGTTACATGTTCATATCATATCTATCTATGAACAGATTCAGAATTCCTCCGTCTCAATAATGACTTTACTGACTTTCCTCCCTTCAAATTACAGTTTCAGCCATTAATAATATTCAAAGGAAAAGGTGGTAAAAAGGCAGGAAACTTACACTACAATTAAACCTTAATTAAATCAATCAGTGCATTATTATTTTTCCTTTAATTCATCAACACAGGCTCCTCTCTGCTGTTCTGCTGTTGACTAAGTTTTTCTGAAATTCACTTCTGTGGGACAAAGATGGCTGTAGTTGAGTCAGAGCAGGAGGTCCACCACAGCGCGCTCACTTCTTCTGTTCACCACTTTGTTTTGGAACAAGAAATTTCTTCCACTTTTGACAATAATCCAATAATTAAGGATTGAAATCTGCTCAAAGAGCGGTCATCTGATTCTGGGGTATTTTCAGGGGGTTCTGTCTATTATTGTAGGGTCTTTTCTTTAAAATATAAAACATGCTGAGGTGATTGTTGTTGTGATTGGGAACTATATAAATAAAGTTACAAATTAACTGAAATACTAGAAACCATCCTCAGTGTCTCTGACAGCAGTGTGGTGGCTTGTAGAGTCAGAAACGAAGTCACTGAGTTAAATGGAAAAACTCAAACCATCAGTCTGAATAGTCTTTAACTGTCAGGTGACAGAAAAGCTCTGCTCTAAAACCACACGTGTCATCTTCACAACTTTGACCTTCACATCTTTCTACAATATATTGAAGGTTGAAGCCATGGATGTATTTGTAAATACCAACTAAATTCTCTAATATTTAATACTTGTTCCTCTCCTTTTTATTGCTGTTATTATTATTATTATTATTATTTTATTACTACCGCTGCCATTTTCTCTTATTTTCTTCTCAATATAACTGCACACTCTCTATATGCTCCTGTAAAGCTGAGGAGCCAAAGAATTTCATTATGGATAAATGTTTGTCTGTACACGACAATAAAACTTGAAACTTGAAATTTGCAATTTTCTGTTTATGTTATCTGAATAAATATTTAGTGTGCACCAGGTTCTTAGACTCGCACCATAAATGAAAGAATTTTATAAGAAATTGCAAAGTTTGCATGTAGAAACTGGAACTTCACCCACTGATTCAGTCCAGTGTGAATGTGAAAGAAAGAAGAAGAAACAGCCTCAGACGGCATCCTGATGACGGCCAGGCAGCTAAAAACACTGGACACAGGGCGGCATTAAAGACAAACAGCTTATACACTGTGCTGCAGGGCTTGCTGTATATTTGGCATTTTAAGCTAAATTATGCTTCAGCATAATATTGGTATGAATGACAACATCACACAGAAAGATAAATCAAACAAATATTAGTAACAAAAGAAAAGGAAAGAGCTGCTCTTTCTAAAGCTAGTGCTTAGACGTCACACTGAAAACTTCAGTTGTTCTGGCGAGGCCAACACTGCAGAAGGATTGTTGACAGGAAAGTTCCAGTTTAATGCTTAATCTTCTCTAAATACGTTGACACAGTTTTTGCTTTACAGTCATAACACACTGGTGTCAGGGGAAGGGATTACGTGTTCCCAGACTCAGGATCAGGCCTTTTGAAGACTCACACAATCACTGACAGCATTGAAAGCTCTGAGGTTATATTATGTAAAGGTGTCTCATGCCACCAACACAGCTGTGAACACCAAGGCATGGACACTAGGCTCCAGGACACAGGGCACATGGGACACCAGTCACAGAAAACATCAAACTGTTCTTGGTGTTATTTTAAATGTTTTTCTGTAATATTTAATTTGCTATGTTTAGTATATTCTCTGTTACTTTGCAGTGTATGTTTTATTTTCCTTGCAATGATAAAAATCCTGGTTCTGGAGTTGGTGTGGCCCCATGTGTCTTCCTCTGTGGTTGTTTTCATTGCTGGTTGATGCACTGAAGCTAACGTCAGTGTTACCACAGATGTTAGCTTTACAACAAGAGAGGCTAAAGTTGCAATTAATCAGCTCTGTGTGAACACATTTAGCTACAATGTAACAAACATTCATTTACATTATAGTTCTGTGTTGCACTTGGTCATATTTCCTGCAGTCAGCAGCAAATCCTCTGTTTTCCATGTCTTTGGCAGTTCATGGTTTTACATTCTGCAGACTCAACTCTATCAAGTTTTAAAAGGACATTATTGACCCCAAATCATATCAGGCTTTTTAGCTGCAGCCGAGGACAAAAGCCAACACATTGGTCTCAATAAGGGAAATAGTGGATCCAACATCTAATTAATTACTATCAATTTTATGTAGCCTGTAAGGGGTGTAATATATCCTATGAAGTATGTTAAATTGCACTTGCCTGTTTTGTAGAAATTAACACAGTCTGTGCCTGTTCCAATAAGTGGTGTCATTCTACCTCTTCATAGACATGGCCCAGGTCCCATTTTCTTTTTATGGACGCTTTGTTGTGATCAGGTAACTTTCATTGATAATAGCCTCCATGGTTTGGTACAAAGATGGGTTTCAAGAGGAGTTTCTTTTGGTATCTCAGGGAATAACCCTTTGGATTTCTCCTTGACTCTTATCTTATTTCTTGCTCTCTTATTTGTAGAAATTTGAAGAAACTTTGTCCTGGAAGTTAGAATTTTTCCTTTAGCAGTTGAAAGTCAATAAATGTGTCATTATTGTATAAGTCAGCAACAGTTCCAATATTTCTGTCCTTCCGTCCCTGCAGCATTGGGTCAGGAATATGATGAGAGAAGTCAGGGTTGCCCCATAGGGGTGTCCTTCTAAGAAAGGAGATATTTATTTTCAGAAGTGAGGGGGATTCCTGCCAGACGCAGAAGGTGTTTATTATCAAATAGTTTGTGAGCTTGGACATTTTTTTGTACCTAAAAATAGAACATCTTTTAATGGGGTTTCACCTCATGACATGTTGTTCTATTGGGACCCATCGAACCTCACTGCTCTCTGCATGTAGCCAGATCCAAACTGATCGGTACTGGGAGGCAAGATAATAGTTCCTAAAGTTTGGTAAATTAAGTCCTGCCCTTGAATATGGGGCCTGCAGAGAGGTGAGTTTGACTCTTGGATTTTTCTTTTGCCATATAAAAGAAGTTATAAGTTTATGAGGCTCTTTGGAGAAACTTTTAGGAACATTTGTAGGGAGACATTGAAATAAGTAAATGAATTTAGGCAAAGTATTAATTTTAATAGCATGAGAGATAATGGAAAATCCATCTATCTCTGAATATTAAGTTTGGTTTGCTCCAACAGTTTGATATAATTTTGTTTGAATATTTGATCCTCGGATTTACCAATTTGTATACCAAAGTACGTGAAGCCATTATTACGCCACTGTAATGGGTCAGTCAGAGCTCTAATACGGCTGTCTTGTATATTTAATGGCACAATCTCACTTTTGGTGTAGTTTAACTTGTATCCTGAGGCTGCACTGTATTCTTCGAGACACTTCATTAAGGAGGGAATTGATTTAAGAGGGTCCGTTATGTATATTAATAATAATAATAAGAAATTTTATTTATGAGCACCTTTCAAGTCACGCAAGGAGACTTTACAATAGGATAAAACACTTAGTAAAACAATGGCAGAATAAGAACAATAAAACAAAAGCACAAGATAAAATTAACAAACTGTGGATTCACAGTGAATATGCAGATTTGAACAGATGGGATTTAAACTGGGGGAGAACCAATGTTTCTTATTTCTGGGGGCAGAGAGCTCCACAGCCTGGGAGCAGAGCAGCTGAAAGCTCTGCTTCC